TATTTCCGCGCGTGAGTGAGTGCCTGTATGCTGCACGCGTGTGCGTTCCAGGTGTGTATGAACAAGTTGGACACACGTATTATTGATACTTACATACCACGTAATCGAGCAACAATATTTTTTCATAGTCTAATTGAATATGTTAAGATATTTGAAGACTACTTCTGCGTATTTCAAAGGTGAATGAATGAAAAAAAATGATAAATCAATCAATCAGTATTAGGTATGCTGTACATTGAACATCCCGTCATCTAATATCATGTTAGCTCATCTTTTACATGTACACTTAAGCACGTTTAAAGAAGCTCGCTCTATTCCAACACTGAGAGATGAGGTCAGAAAAAACAAGGGATTGAAACAAATTAAGTAGCATATGTAAACTGTCGAATGAATGAAAGAAAGTCTTTATTTTGGGGGTACGTTTTTTTCTAACAGTACCTTTATTTAATAAGACTAGATAAAATCTGACTTCGTGTTTTAATCAATTCGGTTTGCCAATCTAAACAATAGCTTATATTCCCCATTCCACGCTCATATGTAGATTTTCCAGGCTTATTTCGGATTCGTAGTAATCAACATCCTACATATGTACCTGCAGGACATTCTCAGAGCTAAGCGTTTATCCATTGTCCATTTTATTATACTTCAATTAAGTAAATTGGTTGTTGGTTCTGAGAACAATCACTTTTTGAATGTGCTATAAGAAGTCACTCCATATTCTTAATTATTTTTATTTGATTCATTTCCTTCCGCTGGCAAATTGAAAATATGCCTTTTTATAATAAAGTAGTAAAGTTAAAATTCTCAATAGAAAAAAAGTTAAAGATGTCTCCTGCCAATGCCCAAGTCACAATAAGACTTCGCTTAGGCGAAATACTGTGTGCAATAGTTCTGCATTGAATCGATGTACATCCAGATACTTCGTATGATGTTAATGCTATACGTGCAAGAGGACGTCAACAAAACGAGGTAAAGTGAAAACTATCGCGCATTTTTTGTACCTCACTGAATGCGTGTGTACTCAGTATGGAGTTATCGCTTCACTTTTGATGCTATTGTTATTCCTATAGCAAACAATTCTTCCTAATTTAACTGATGGATGGATTGGAGTTTTTTAACAGAGAAAAGATGATTTTGAAAAGTAGAGAAACAGTTTGGTTATTGTTGTAAAATCAAATTTATTCGAATAGATCAAACACCCCAAATGAACAACGTCAGACACTACCCCAATTGAGATATATAGCTGGGTTGAGAAATCGTGCAGGGTGATAAATCCTGTCGCCTATGCCCATATGTATTCCACCATTTCACAGCCGGGTGAAAAATATGTGCAGGGTGTGAAATCGTGTCGCGAACGAAACAATTTTGCACGATTTTTCACCCGGTTGAGAAATCGTGCCGTAACATGGCAGTAGTATCACCATACCCCTCACTTTGAATGGAACACGGTACAGGCTGTTGTAGAAACAGGAATTGGTGGATGAGCTCGAGGGACCTCTGGAGCCTGGAAAACGAGTGAGGCTCCGAGGTTTTACCGGCAATGTGGAAATAGTACGGGAAATGAAAGACCTGCAGATCGGAATAGGAAACACGGAAGTACCTTGGACCGTATGTGAGGCCCCCATCACGGACGACATGTTGTTGGGGGTAGATTTCCTGTTAAGGAACAACTGTGTCATCGACTTAGATGCAGGCGTCCGGTTTATTAGTAATCAGGTAATACCTATTACACCGCAGGTGGCGGAGCAAAGGACACCGTCCGCTGTCAAGGTAGGTCAAAACGTAAAAATACCGCCAAACACAATATGACACTGTCCGGTGGCCTGGGCTAAACCCAATGGGGTTATGTCCAGGATTCAACCCACACAACATCCTGGATGATTCATGATCATCGCCGGTTCGGTAGTGCTTCCCGATGGCCAACAAGCCATAATGAGAGTGATGAATGAAACTGTCAAGTCCGTCATAATGAAGGAAGGACAGAAAATTGGAGGTAAAGAACCTGTAGAGGTCATCTGCCATCTCCACAGAGAAGCTCGAAGCTGTAATACAGCAGATATGGTTCATGGGAAAGGCCAGATTACCTCCGGGGACAACAGGGTTACCGAGCCATAGAGGCCATCCCTCAACTTCCCAGGGAAGCTCCTGTCTATTACGAGATGGATGAAGTACACAGGGAGGGCCAGAGGCCAGTGATGGTCTCAATAGAGTCATTGAATTATTTAAACAGTGACCCGGCGGAAGCTAACTGTGAACAGTTTGAGGAGGACGAGGACAGTATGGTACCACTAACATACAAGGCCCGTACTCCTGGTACTCAACAAAATAAGCATATACATGTACCACTTACATTTTGGCTCACTTTTGAAGACGGTGAGGAGGTAAAACCAACATCTGCCTCGTTTCCATTTCACGGGGAGAAGGAAACGGAAACTTGTGTTCCCTCAATCATTGAATGTTTCAATCCACCTGTGGATGATGAAATGTGTGACCAGGGGTTACATGCGGTGTGTGGGCTAGCCAATGGAGGACAGCAGAACAAGTATGGGAATCACAGTGGGTATCCCACAGATCCATTTCGTCAATGATGGTCTAACCTGTGACTAAGATCGTTCTTTATCACGTCTACCAGAACCAAACTGGAAAAAGATACTCAAATGCATGTCGAAATAATATCATCTTCAGTGCCGTTGGCTGTTGGAATCTATCAAACGCGAGAGAACGCGTTCGCAGGGACCAGGGAACTGTTTGGGGGAAGCGATCCCAAGGCTATGACGGGAAAAACCGCCAAGGACGGAGGAATTCCATAATCGAAGCCTGGTCCATGTCGATCGACTGACGCGGAGCAATCATATAGCGCTGTAACCCACTCAGGTGGGGTACTCACCGGCACAGCTAGGCAGCTTAGAGCACCCTAAAAGTTGACTATACTGGTGTGGCTAGGCAATAGCTCCACAGTAGATAAATTACACGGCACTGCTGTGTGCTTCGGTTTAGTTATAAGATCAAGGACAGTAAAAATCCCTGTGTATTTTTTGTGACCTAGGTAAATGGGATCACATTGTACAGTTGGGAGACAGTTTTTAATTAAGTTAAGTCTGCTAACAATACGGAGGTTCAGAAAGAGACGGTTCTCTGCCTCTCAGGCAGCCTCCGAGCCTCTAAAGACAGAGATTTCTGCTCAATCGTCTCCAGAAACAGTGAGAGATCGGCCCTTTGAGCGATTATCAACACCCTGTCACAGTCAGCATACAAGTGGAGGACATTCTTGCCCTTTTTTTTAAACAAAAGACATAGTATTCCAGGTGACATACCTGGCGAGGGCACGGTATGTCAGTGCCCCGCCTGAAAGGTTATATTCGTAACGGTCCTGTAAGAGGGCAGAGTTAAGTTAAGCCCCCCATCAGTATTAGATCTACAGGATGGGCCTGAACTTCCACTCTACTAGGCAGGGTGAAACTGTGCTCCTGCTAAGGGTTCCATATCGGTGTGACCCGACCTTGTTCAACTTCATCAGAGAACAATCATCTCCAGCATCTTGAACAACACCAGAGGATCTGCTACTCCAAAAATGACCACCTCATCAATGATTCATCAACAGCAGCTTCAAACCTTAAGAGGGGGCCTTCAAAAAACGGAGAAGTGTGTGGTGAAGTTTGGGGAGAGTTATCTCCCTTCGACCGCTGACCGCGCCGACAACATCGATGTAACATCTCGGCGCGGTCTCAACACATGAGTGATTTTCCTCCTCATATTCTTATATATATTTTTGGACCTGAGAGCAGTTCTCAACTATATGTTGTGACGGTGTGTGACAACACTCCAAATTCACGACAATACCAAATCGCACGAATTACTCGCCCTAATACGATCGTCACGTACCTATAGGACAATGCCCTTTTTTCTGTGTTCAAAATTAATCTGACCCAAATACCAAATATATTTAAAGATTTTCCCTCCATTTCAAATGTGAATTTCTCATTGAAAAGTTGAACCACGGTTTTCTGTGGCTTCCCCTAGCCATCAATTCCAATAGCTGTTGCCTAAACACCACTGATTTCTCTACCCTAAACAATAGGGGATTAATCCTCTAGTATTGTCAATGTCAGCAATGTCAGGTCAGTGATCACCTTGTTTTTATTTTACCTGACCCTAATTGGTTTCCCGCCAACTTCACGCTTTTTTTACATGTTGAATGGGACGAACTGCTCCGGCCAGTAGACTTACTCCGGGGCCGAGCTTGCCCTAGTCTCCCCTATAATGTCACCATAATATGATGACATAAAATAGGATAGATCCTTTTTTTTTTTAAAGAACGTTCATAATTGATATATGTACATGTATATTTGTTATATTCCTGTATCAGAAAATAACGAAATGTGTGTTCTATGACCATAACAATATTTGCTAAATTATTTATTATTTATATTGACATTTTGATAGAGTAGTTATGCTTTATTTAGATATTTCAAACAGTTCTTTGAACAGCAAATTAGGTGTTGACAACAATGAAATTGATGACATCACAAATGAGATTGATGACATAATAATAGCAAGTGTATTTATAGTCTCATAAAGACATGTACCCTATAATTGCATTGCAATGGAAGGATGCAGAGCAAATATAAATATAACTTAACAAATAAAATAAAATAAATTTATTAAGTAATATGAATTCGTTTAAGTTGACATATTGAAAAATCAATAAAAATGAGTGATTTTGAAAGAATTGATGATTAATTAGATGACCAAAGATCATTTTCTTTTTAGTGTATTCGAGTACTGAATCAAAACGGAGACGGCAAATGAAATTCGTTCAAAAATATTTGTTCTTATTCATTTACATACAGTTTTACGTTGCTAGTGTTATGTTTCCACTAGAAGATTGTGCACATATCTATGACAGTCATCCGTCAGTCAAGTACGAACTTGCGACTGCTTCTTAAGTGCGCGGAAACCGACAACACGAGGATAAATGATTACAGCACAGTGATTGGATGTAGAACATCGTTTTAAGTCACATTATTTCATTAGTCAAACAGTCACATCGGATCTGCTGGAGGAGACGGTCTCGAGCACTGGGCCATCAGTGAGCGTCTGAGGAGAAACAAGGTGACCCATCAGTGCGCGTCTGAGGATAAATAAGGTGACCCATCAGTGAGCGTCTGAGGAGAAACAAGGTGACCCATCAGTGAGCGTCTGAGGAGAAACAAGGTGACCCATCACTGAGCGTCTGAGGAGAAACAAGGTGACCCATCAGTGAGCGTCTGAGGAGAAACAAGGTGACCCATCAGTGAGCGTCTGAGGAGAAACAAGGTGACCCATCAGTAATCATGATTGTACTACGTGTTATCATCTTGTTCCTTATGTGTTCAAACGTAACTGGGCAGTCATATCAGAATTTGGCACGTTTAAAACTGAACCTTTTGCAGAACTATACAAAGTCTAATCGTCCGCTTCGATATCAAAATGATACGCTGTTGGTTTATATAGATGTATATTTCCATATGGTGGAAGGGTTCAACATCCTGGAAGGTGTTTTAGGAACACACCTTACCTTCACGCTGCAGTGGACGGATGAATTCATACGTTGGGTCAGTGAAGAATACGACAACATCACAGTGATAAACCTACCCCACCTCGACGTGTGGGTTCCGCAAATGGTACTGCTGAACCCATCTTCAGACAACTTCGGCTTCCTAATCAAAGAAAAGGACATGCTTCTTGTTCAATACACCTCTGAAGGCTTTGCGTCGTTGACATTCGCTACTTATTTCGAGAGCACGTGTCAACCATCCCTCAGACAATATCCATTCGACTCTCACACTTGTCACCTGAATATAAGCCATGTAGGCTACAGTATTGGCGAAGTGATCTCCGTCCCGTTACATGTTTATGATAAGAGAAAAGGAGATAGCGGACCATGGGATGTTGGCGCGGTAGAATTAACCGCGAATTTGCTTATTCCAGGAGTTGCCGCATCTAGGTATGCTGAGTTATCCATGCAGTTGTCACGTCGACCATCTGTTTTACTTTTGAATCTAATCTTCCCCATTTTCATCCAGATGATTATGAACGTGTTTGTGTTTTACCTTCCAGCTGAGTGTGGAGAGAAGGCAAGCTACTCCATCACTGTTTTTCTCGCTGTGGAAATCTTCATGACTATCATCATGGATCAGTTACCTCCATCGTCCTCAGAAACTCCCTTCCTAAACGTTATCCTCTTTATGCATCTCATTAACACCGCCGTACTATGCGCGATGACAACTGTATCCCTGCTATTTTATCATAGAAGTAACACTATTATAATACCTGAGCGTCTTCGACGATTTACCATACGGATGAGCCTCCGTCATGGAGACATACTCACAGGACAACCACCAGAAAACATGTCCCAAATGACGGAGCGGGTGAATCGCGATATAACCGAGACGGATGATATCACACACCATGCTGCTGTGTCGGCTGGCAATGACCGGCGCCGTGTATTTCTAACCTGGCAGAGTGTAAGTCGCGCGTTGGACCATTCTTCTTTCTTCATCTGTTCCGTAATGACCATGTATCAATTGGTATTGGTCTTTCTAAATGTATTTTTCTAGTACTACAGTATATATTGATATGAGTCGCGTTATGAAAAATCATAATAAATTCAACCGAGTTTGTTACCCTTTCGGACTCGCTCAGCTCACTTCAGTCAAAAACATCAGGTAATAGCAGTAGACCCAAATCACTCCTGAGAATGATCACAACCATAAAGAAGTTGGGGATTAATCTTAAACTCGAATGGATACCATCGCACTTAAGCATACTAGGAAATGAGAGAGCGGATACACTCGCAAAGGAATCTTTAGGGTCAGTGTTATACATCTTAACGTAGGCTTAAGCATATCTGAAGTTGTCAGTATTGTCAACACCAAGACACAACTGATATGACAAGAAAGTTGGTCAAAACTTTCAAATAATTGGCTTAGAGCGATCGATGAAAATGTTAAAAGTAAAACACAGCTTTAGAGACAAAATAAAACAGAAGATATCGTCCTTACCAGACTCAGATTGGGATATACCAAATTAGGACATAACATTAGACGCATAAAAAGGAGATAAATCCAGATTGTTCAAACTGTGGTGAATCCGAAACCATAAACCACATACCATGTTTATTGTAGCACTCAAAATAGCAATAGGGCAGTTTCACAAGATGAAGTCGGACAGCTAGATAATATCACTTTTGGTTTAAAATCGTTATCAAATCCACCAAAAAAATGTATATGAATATTTGATCAACAACGTCATTGCCATATATCATATTGAAAAAAAGTCGGTGATACAAGACAGTTAAAGGTAGGAAAACGCGGGGATAATTGTTCTAATCATGTATTCATACATTTTGTTTGCCTTTGACAATGGAACCTTCCTGCAAAATTGATTGAAATTGAGTTGGTGGTTTTAGAAAGATGTGGTAACCATGATTGACAAAAGGCAATCACAAGAAGTCCACACCAAGACTTTGATAACTTAAAAAAAATATTTTCTATTTAAAGTTCACAAATCATAAATGTAACACTCACTGCCTACCAAGAAGTTATAATGTCCAGTTGTTGTTTAAATGTCTATATGAAAGGCACCAAATCATAGGAAATTTATGGAGTAGTTATATATAATTTCGTTGTTTATGTTTATTCATGTTTGAAGTGTGTACTTGTATCTGAATTTCAAGTTGTGCTATTATTTCCACCAGGATTTGAATCTGGGTCAGTTTGTTAACCACTACACTATAGAATATAAATAGCACAACTAAATTTTTCATTCAGATTTGTTTCAATTTTTACATTTTGTTTTGCATTTATATTTACATTCTCCCTCTGTTTTTCCTAGTAAATCTTACGTTCTGCTCTTTTTCATATTGAAAACTGATATAAGAAGATCCTAACTTTTCCATGAACATTAATTCTAATTCTATAATATAATTGTCAAAAACAAATCCTTGCATTATTAGATTAATTGCACACATATACTGGTACATGCAATTCAACTATGTATATATGCTTATTCTTGACACAAGTAATCAATGTTTTCCCCAGCTGAATCTACGTTTACTTGAAATTGACTGAAGAAGACCCTTTTATTCCTATAATTGCCAAAACTTTCCATTTTAAATATATATCATATACCAGTATTTGTATTTTTTTTTCATTCAAATGAGACAACATTGACACAAATGCAAGAATTTAATAATGTACTAATTGCCTCGCTTGTTACAGAGGGTGTATGTTTTGTTATAGTGTCATTAACAAATCTTGAGGCTACTTTGTTCTTCAGTATTTAATTTGATGTTGAAATAATTTTTATGTATATTTTTTTAATTTCTAATTTAAGATTTCTCTAAAATATTTAAAGTGTATGAAATCTCCTAACATGGATGTTAATGAAGCTATAGGGTTGGAAGCTATTACTGTACTTAATATATGTATGTTATGTTTCGAGTTGCTGATCTGAGACTCCCTTTGAACCTTAAATTAACGATTCAGTCAGTAACCTATTCCGACAGTGTAAGATATACTGATTTTTATCTTTAAGAACAAGTCAGAAGATGACATTCCATAGTGTTATTGTTTTAATTAGCTCAGGTAGAGTAAGGTAAAAACAAAGACAAGGTGAGCCCTGACCATTTACCTGATTGGACACTAAATGCTATCATAAACAATAGTTGGATGAATCTGTTGTGTTTAGTACATACAAAAACCTATGACAGCACAGTGTCAGCGGTAATTAGCCATGGTGCTGCCATCTGGGGCAACATACATTATTCGTGTATAGCAGCAGTTCAGAATAGAGCTTGTAGATACTATTTGGGAGTAGGTCGATATACTAATGCAGCCAGTGTGGGTGAGATGGGATAGACATCGGTCAGTCTTCGTCAGTGTTCAGCTGTATTTAGGTATTATAACCGTCTGTGTAATATGTCGGATAATAGACTGAACAGTAAGATTTTTTAAGTGGTCAAAAAACCCTGAGTACGAATAGACGTAAGAACTGGTATTTTTTTTTTTTTTATCAGGGAAAGTCCTCAAATGTTAGATATTGATAGTTATATTGACGTTGTGAATAAAGACGTTAAATCACTGTTAACTGACAGTTTTAACAAAGGATACCAACTGTTCGCAGAAAAATGGAAATCAGATGTTAATTGAGTGTGCAGTAGATATAGCGCAAATAGTGAACATACAGTCGCTTTAAATCGTCTTTCCAAATTGAAAAGTATTTACATGTATATATGAATATACCAAAATCACACAGAAGTAATTTAACTAACTTCAGGAGTGGTGTTGCACCTATTCGTATAGAAACTGACCGCTATGAGAGAGTACCTGAAATAGAAAGAACCTTTTTTTTTTAATTGTAATAATGTGGTTGAATCAGAGTCGCGTCTTTTATTTGAATGTAACCTGTATAAGGATCTTAGAACGAAGATGTTTGCAAGAGCAAGGAGCATGGTTAGTACGTTTGAAAGTCCTACCGATTCAGATAAGCTTATTGGGATTCTTGGCAACAGTAAACTTAGTAGAATTACAGCCAAAACCTGCTAAGAAATACTAAAAAGAAAGCGCAATTGTATATATAGATAAGGTTATATATGTCATGTTGTACTACAATGTATATATATATGCTATTAAATGTAACAAGAGGTATGTACATTTGCAGTTGTGTAATTTTGTTCAAATTTTAAATGTCATATATAAATGTAGCTACATAGATATTGTATTTGTCTTTGGAGTTCAGTTTTTAAAAAACTATATGAATATTTTAAGTATCTCTGTAAAAATAGAGCCAATCTTAATCATGTACTCTTTCTTTATCAATATGTGTCTAGTGATGACATTGTACTAGCAGTGACCAATATGTGTGAATGGTATGGTAGTGATGATCATGAGGTGATGAATCATTGTATATTGCATTAGAAATTGTATCTATCTATACTGAAAACCTGTTTGTGTATATTGGTATATAGTCTCTCATAACTCAATATTTAATGAGTGGTTTTATTATGTATGTAGTTTGACTGATAAACTGAATTGTTTCAGTTGTTTTAATACTGTATGTTACAACAGGCGAGACAGAAATAAAATATTTGAACTTGAATGAATTTGTGTTTGGAGGTCAATCTATTAGCCAGAGCTTAGGACGTATACCGCTATTAATTTGGAGGACATGTATTAACCTCAGGTACACACATGCCCACCTGCTAACATCCCTATGATTTCATAATTGTGCACATGTTTAAAGGTGGTTCCTGTACAGTGCTGTCAGCATTGGTCACATAGGTTTTTCTAGTGTTGATTACATGTATACACATTCACACCTAGTTGACTATAAATAGTGGAGATTAAATCCATTATTGAATCAAGGTGTTTGTATTTTATATCAGCTGAGACAGTTGGATACATATATTGCCTCTATCACGTGTACTTAGTGTGGCTATTGACTAATCACTAACCTTGAAAATATAACATCTTAATAACACGACACTTTTGAGGGGTTGTTGTTATCTTATTTAGAAGTAAAAAATGGTGGAGATGATGAATATGGTCCAAATATCAATTATATCAGTTATTAGAATAACTTGCTCTAGGAAGGCGATTTCTGGAGTACCAAAAACACACCCATACAGTCCGAGGCCTAGGTCCTAACTGATGTACAAACATAATCATGTCGTTGAGTACATTTACACAATAATAAGTTAATCTGACAACAATGGTTCAAACGAATTATACCTGCCGACTTAAAAGAAAAAACTTATTTCAATTGACACAAGTTAAGGAGACTTAATGATACAAACAATTCACATGAAATAGTTTCAGCATATAATTATTATGTCATTCGATGGAATAAATGAAATGAAAGTTTGTAGTTTAAAATACGCCAAATAACGAATATAATGAGATATCAAAGTAAAGTTAAAATATTCTTACAACGGATGCAAATGCAGCAGTTTAAATGAGTATTAAGTCAACTTACACCATTAACATTACTCTGATACAAAAATATATATAACCTCTTGCAAACGTTAATGCAGTTTATAATGACATGACCTGAAGCCATTTGCCCGTTGTAGGCAGTTAGTACAGTTACAACCGAAGAAGCAAAACATCCGGGCCTTACGGTGAGCATGCTGTCCACAACAACATGGGTTTGAATTCATAGGTGACACATTATTGTCACTTTAAACGTATACAACATATCGCAAGTAAGGATCAGCGTACCCCAACAACCGTTAAAAGTACCTCACTCTATAATCACTGCATAAACCTGCCAGGACATTTTTGATTAACTACTATTAGGTAACACCACGGACTTAGATATAATCTAACTCCTTGGTAACACTCTGGACATCAAGCAGAAATGCTTTGCGAAGTCATTTTCCATTGGAGGTCAAATTTCATGGCAATTGTCCAATGTTTTCGTTGGATTTAGATAATAATAAAGGGTTTAATGATAGTATATGACATTTTTATGCGTGACAATATACTAACAACATACCTACAAATGACATTGCTGTCGTTGACTTATAATTGCAACACAATTACTTTTTTTCACATCAAAAAGCTTATTCATCATTTATATACGACATGTTATAAATAAGGTACGGAGTTTATTTTTTTTATTTTTGAGTGAAATATTTGTAGCAGATGAATTACAGCCAAATTAACTTTAAACGTGGATGACTCCGATAGCTTCATTCCTAGAACATTGCATATTTTGTGTGATAGTGTAACCCTCACGTATGCTGGAGATCCTTCTAAATATATTGTTCAGTTAATAGGAAAAACGACAATATTTCGTTTGAATAGACTGCGATGTGAATGATCGGAAATGTTACTGAGCAGAGACTTGTATACATCATGTTCTGTTAGCTGGAAAATCGACAATTTTCAATTGTACGAATTGCGCTTTCCGTCCGTGTTTAGAACTGTAACTGTTTGTATAACACAGGTCACATTACGTTTGTCTCAATGATAAATATACCACTTCTGATACAAACAAATATGTGTAATAACCGTCAATTGTGCTGCAAGTCACTAGGGATGTCTTTTCTTCATTTTATTAACTTTAGGCCCTGCGGCCCACCAGTACATAAATATGTTAATACATTACATAATAAATGATAGCACGACAAACAGTGCAAAGTGGAGAGTGGCGAACATACATGTATATGTTATTAAATTCTCAACTTCTTTGCTTCCAAAATATATTTACAAACCTGACACAGTTTTCTGGTAATGTTAACACAATAATTGTATAAATTTAAATAGAGATGCTTTTTCCAGTGATGTTTTCTTAATATATTGACTTCTTGAGTTTTGATAGATATTACATATTAAAACAGAATG